GGAAAGAGACTTATTGAATGTTTCAAATACTTTATGCTGACTGTTCATACCAATAATCACAAGTCAAAGTAATAGTTATAACAGTAACAAAAGATTTTCCCAATTACATGAACTAGAAGAAAAATTCTGCGACAAAAGATGTTGCCTCAAGAGAAATTCATTTTCCATCATCCTTACTACCATGAGGTGAGATATCTTAGACACAAATGTAAATGGTAAAATGTTTACCACTGGGTTTAGCAGAACCTTACAAGTTGACCCACATAAGCATATAATAAAAATATCAAGAAATAACTAATATATTTAAATGATATACCCTATCATTCCAAATAGCTTAAAATTATATTCATTCTTGTTTTTTTAAAAAATGTGAATAAATAGACTCACAGTTCCACAAGGTTTGGAAGCTTCTGAGCAAGATTTTCTGGCTGAAAATTAAAAACTCAGAATTAAACTTAATTTTTGAAAAATGCAGAAACATTTCTAATTAACACAAAATACTACCTTTATAAGGGGTGTGATCTTTGAGAAAATGCAAAAATAATAAAGCACCAGGTATGGATTTTATCCTTTCATAGACCATGCTACAATTTATGATTAAAAAGAAAACATTTATTTATTTGTTTATATATTTGTTGTGATTTTCAAGTCTCCAGGTCCGGGACTTGAAATGCACTTAGCCATATGAGAACCCAGCACTTGAACCACCACACCACCTTCTGGCCCCTTTATATTTCAACATTTTTGTAATTTTATTTATTTATTTACTTTTAATTTGACCAGAGAGAGACAGAGAAAGAGAGAGAGAAAAAGTAAAAAAGTAAGCCACCAGGTCCGGGACTCGAACCGTGGTCAGCCATGTGGGAGTGTACGGCGCCTTAACTACCATGCCACCTGCTGGTCCCTATATTTCAACATCAATGTCCTTTAGAGAAACCAGAGACCACATTCCATGATTATGGAAAAGATGAAAGTGGGCTTGACAGGCACTAAGAAAAGAATGCCACGTGAGCAGGAATCCAGAGACTGGGTGACTGCGTTGTCAACCAAGGGGCCCCAATGTTTGCTGGCAGACCCCAAAAGCTGGGAGAAAGGCATGAACACATTCTCCCCCAGACCCCTGAGAAGGAACCAACCCTGACTGCAAGTTGATTTGGGACTTCTATCCTCCAGACCTGCAACAGAATTTCTGCCCCTTCCAGTCACCCAGTTGGCTGTCATTTGTTACAGCAGCCCTAAGACATGAATACATGCCCAAACTCCCAAATGGTGTTCCTTCCAAGAAATAAGGGAGATTCCCAGAGCCCCCAGCTACTAAGACCTAACTAAGCTCAGAATGAACAGAGCAATCTGAGCTTGTGTAGTCCAAGGGAGTATGGAACCTGGCCGGAGTTCCTGAGATCAGAGATGGTGTGATGTGTCAGGGACAGGAAATTGTCACTGGGAGGAAGGAGGATGGAGTTGAATCTAGGTCCCTTAGGCCATCTGGCTTTGCCATGAAAAGAATCCCATTCAGTAGGAGAAATTCTCCTGCAAATACCTGAAAACCAATGTGTGTGTGTGTGTGTGTGTGTGTGTGTGTGTGTGTACGTATACATATATACACACACATGCATGCACATATATATCACATACACATGTAAATGGTATTTTTGAGGGATTTCTTCTCTATCCTCTGTATCCTCTTTTTTCCTCCCTTCCTTTCAATTTGCTCTAGGGTACTAGTACTCACAGAGATAGAGAATGTGAGAACACACCCCACAGAGAGGATGGGTGCGATCCCTTCGCCTTCATTTCTTCTCTTGGGATTTTGGGCCTGCATGAACATGTGCCCAGCATGTTTTTCAAGCTACAGGGTGTGAGATTTGAGCTACACTGTTAGCCATGTGGGATCAAGCTGTCTTTTTATTTTATTTTATTTTATTCATTCATTTATTTTTAATGTGACCAGAGAGAGACAGAGGGTGAGAGTGAGAGAGAGGGGAAGTGAGAAAGCAAGCCACCAGATTCAGGACTCGAACACTGGTCAGTCATGTGGGAGTGGCCAGCGCCTTAACCACCACACCACCTGCTGGTCCCAGGATCAAGCTGTCTTAACCACCACACCATTGGTTGGCCCAAGCCTGTTTTACTTTAGCATATCATTTTCCTTTTCTGCTTCCTTCATAACAATGAGGTTTGTTTTGTGTTTTTAATTTGCCAGAGGGCATGTGTACTCTCCAGAGAGGCATGGCAGCAGGGCATACACACTGCCCCTCGTGGAGCATGGTCACATCTCACCACAATCCCTATTCTGTCTCCCTCCTTCTGGGATTTTGGCCATACATAAACACATCCCTGTCATGGGTGTTTTTGTTTGTTTTGTTTCTTTGTTTTTGCCACAGGGCATGTGTACTTGCTGGAGAAAGAGAGAGAGAGAGAGACACGGAGGGAAAGCAAGAAATCACCCCTAACAGCATAGCCATGCTGCAATGCCTTCTCTGTTCTCAGAGTTTTGGGCACACACCCACATGTGTGCCCAGTATAGTTTTCGTTTTTCTTTTTCTTTTTTTTATTTTTTGAGAGAAATTTTTGCTATTAGGGTGCGTGTGCTCATCAGAGAGAGAGAAACAGAGGGACAGAAAGTGCGAAATCATTCCCCAGGGCAGATGGCCATGCTGCAGGCTCTTCTCCATTCTTCTCTTGAAATCTTGGGCACACATGCAAACGTGCCCAGCGTGTTTTAAGCTGCTGGATCCAGGAGTCAAATAGTGGTCAACTACGTGACCTGCGACCTAACGCCATGCCACCTGGTGGTCTAGCCCAGCGTGATTTTCAGACTACTGGGTTCAGGACTTGAGGTCGGCCATGTGGAAGTCTAGTGCCTTAACAACCACACTACTAGTTGGCCCCAACCTGGCATGTTGTATAAGCCACCAGGTCTAGTACCATCTTAACTACCAGGCTAACTAACCACTAGGCCACAAGCTGGCCTAAGTGTTTTGTTGTTTTTTGTTTTTTGTTTTTTTTAAGAAATATTTAAGTTTATTTTATTTATTTATTTTCATTTGACCAAGAGAGTGACAGAGTAGGGTGGAGGGGACTGAGAAAGCAAGCTAGCTGCCAGGTTCGGGACTCAAACTGCGGTCGGTCATGTGGGAGTCCAGCACCGTTTACCACCATGCCACCTGCCAGCCCCTGGCCTGAGATAGATAGTTTTAATTGACTAGCTAGTTTTGTTTTGTTTTGTTTTGTTTTGTTTTGTTTTGTTTTGTTTTGAGAAGTTTTTACAATAGGGCGCATGCATTTGCCAGAAAGAGAGACAGAAAGTAAGAAATCACCCCCAAGGGGGATGGCCATGCCGCAACCCCTTCTCCATTCTCCTCTCAGGATCTTGGGCACGCATGCACTCGCACCCGGCATGAGTTTAAGCCATCGGGTCTGGAATTCAAACTGCAGCCGACTACATGGAGTTCAGCAACATAGCCACTACACTAACTGCTGGTCACAATGACATTATTAATTTCACATTTGCATTCCAGTGTAATTAACACATATGTAGGCTAGCTGCTTGCCTTTTTTGATAACCAAATATCACTGGACATGAATATTATTATAAAGTCCACAAAGCTCTTTGTGACTACCCACTCTTGATAGAACCACTTTTCTTTTAATTTTTGTTTTTATTTTGCTACAGGGCATGTGTAGAGAGAGACAGAAAGAGAGAAACAGAGAGAGAGAGGTGGAAAATGAGAAAGCATTGTGAGCACACCCCAATCCCTTCTCCAATCTCCTCTTGGAGGTTTGGCACGTGCAGTGTTTTTCAAGTCACCAGGTCCAGGACTCTATTCATGCAGTCAGCCATGTTGGGATCCAGCGTCTTAACCTCCACACCACCTGCTGATCTACTAGGATGTGTTTTTACTTCTATCAAACACATTGATTTTGAGAAAATTGCCTTTCAAAACAAACACACTAATGAAGCACTTCTGAATAGATGCTCAAAAAACCTGGCAAAAAAGCAGACCATTGTGTGGACACCTACTGGTGTTATACAGAACTCTCTGCTCCCTAGCAGGCATTGTTAGAACTAAGTCCACAGTGCGATTTAAAAATGGGCATAGAGGACCCGCACATGGTGTAACGGTTATGTTGCTGGACAACCATATAGTTGACCACGGTTCAAGTCCCAGACCTGGCGGCTTAAACCTCATGCTGAGTGCGTGTGCCCAAAATTCCCAGAGAATGGAGAAGAAGGGACTGAGGCTTGGCCATCCCCCCTGTGGGGGTGACTTCTTACTTTCTCTGTCTCTCTCTCTCTCTGTGGTGAGCACATGGCAAGGATCTAAAAAATAAATAAATAATACAATTTTCTTTTTTTAGAGAGATTTTTGCTATAGGGCACATGCGTTCACCAAAGAGACAGAGAGAGACAGAAAGTGAGAAATCATGGTGGGGGGGGTGACACTGCAATCCCTTCTCTTCCATTATCCTCTTGGGATAATATGTACCCAGAGCAGCAGGTTTCAAGTCACTAGGTCTGTGACTTGAACCATGGTCGACTACACAGGATTCCAGCAATATAACCCTTATGCTATCTGCTGGTCCTGATGATTGAAAAAAAAAATTAAATAAGTTACATCAATACCTTTTTCCTTTTTGTTGTTGTTCAAGACAGGATTTGCATTTGCATGAGAGGGAGGGAGACAGACAGACAGACAGACAGACAGAGGGAGAGAGGTGCCCTCTGCAGGCCTGGTCAGGCTGTGAGCCCCCTCTTCCAGTCTTCTAGTGCTCCGGAATCCTGCACCTATGCCTGATCCGTTTCAGGCCAATCAGCTCAGGGACTCAAGCCAAAAGCACCAGTGGCTTCCAGGTCTGTGTTCTACCAGAGAGGTTGGCCAAAAGTTACATAAACAGCTTTAAGCAAAGGTTGAAGATTAGAGAACCACTTGCCCTTATTCATCTCTGTTATTTTTTAATTGCTAGGCGGTGTGTGCACTCAGCCAGAAAGACAGGGAGAGAAAACAAGAGGGAATCCCTGACGGTCATGCCCCCATCCCTTCTCTGTTCCTCCATCTGCTCAGGATTTGGGGTATGGACACACACACACCTGGTATGTTTTCCAAGTGCCAAAGGCAGGATGGGGCTGACCTATCTTCTCTCAGGTCTTCAGAAAAGTCAGGACATATTTTCCTGTGTTTTTCTATGCAAAAAAGCATCATGACTTTCCCAATGACACAATTTTTTATTTTTTATTTTATTTCATTGTTTTTAAAGAATTGTATTATTGGGACCAGCAGTTAGCATAATGGCTATGTTGCTGGACTCCCATGTAGCCGACTGCAGTTCGAGTCTCGGACCGGGTGGCTTAAAACTCACACCAGGCACGTGTGCATTCGTGCCCAAGATCCCGAGAGGAGAATTGAGGAGAAGGGATTGCAGCATG